TTCAATCAAATCAACATGTCGTTGGTAAAGTTTTAGATATCCGATAATTATATTTACTTTTGATTAATCCGAAATCAAATTGGATCAAAAAAAACTTTAACACATGTTTGTCTATTCAAAGACTCGAATTCAAAATTTTATTTTAAAAAAATTAAATTTTTTTCAATCAAATCAACATGTCGTTGGTAAAGTTTTATATATGTATTAATTTAACGTTATTTGTACTTATATATTATTATATAATTATTATCAATTTACAATGCAATATAAAATGGTAATTATGGTGTTGCAATTAGAAAAATATATTTAAAAAAAAAAAAAAGGATTTTGTATTGGCTACCAATGGTCACAGGGCCAGTAAATATCTTCAGAAGAGGGGAAAGGATAGCCGTACACGGCTGTTATGCTGGGATGTATGACGTGGCGTCTAGATAACAATTTTGAGTGGTGTTGAAGGTCCTGCACGGCATCGTCGTTTTATCACTACCCAACAACCCGAAAAGAAAATGAATTTTTTGGGGGGAGTCGGGAGACCACTTTGTGGCCACATCAGAGTAAAAAGGGTCCCACAAAGGACAATGTTTGACCCACATTAATGGTTAATGCGGATCCCTTCGCTGGGTCCCACCTCCACTGTCGGTTTCTGGGAGCTTTATTCCATTACCGTGCCAGGTGTGCAACCACTATGCTGTGTCACTACGCCTACGTGGCAGCCTCATTGACCGTAAGTGTAGCCCTAGCCGTCAACCAATTTCCTCCCGTGACCCACCACCACTTAGTTTCATACTAGTACTAATTAATTAATTAATTGTTTAATAATTAATTAATTCACGTACACTAATAATTTATTTAAAATAGTTACATAAATATAATTATTATTAAAATAATATTAAAATTATATAAAAATAATATAAATTATTTTAAATTATTATATAAAAATTTTATATTTTATAATTTAAACAGTAAACTCTCAATATCAATTAAAAAAAAGCCCACCACCATCCACTATTTATACCGTACACTCATGAATCATGATATTATACACTGCTCAACTTTTTTTATTTTATTTTTATATTTTAATAACGTAAAAGTGATTTGGCAAAACCATTACTTAAGCCCCTGAACTAACCCCAGAATCGCTGTTAAGCCCTCAGACTTTAATTGATGCATATAAACCCCTAAACTCTGCTATCGAAGCAATTGAGCCCTTACTCTCACTGCCGTCTTAACTGCCATTAATTGCTGTTAACTGCCATTAACTGCCTTTCAGGGACTGCCTCGTGTGACAAAATATGGCCATCTCATCCGTAGGTGGCAAGGGATTTTGTACTTAATTTGTTCACTTGAATAAAAAAAAAGACAAAAAATTAGGAATAATTTTTTCATTTTTTATAATTTTACATATTATTTAAATAAATAATTCTTTTTATTTATAAGTTTGTTTAACTTATAATGAGGATACAAATTAAAAATGTAATAAGTACATTTTTTTAATAAATTTATGTTAAAAAATAAAAGTTAACTTTTGATTTTTTAATTATTCAATTAAATTCATCAATTTAATACCAACATCAAAATTAATATCAATTTTCACATTTTTTGTATACATTTTGATAAAAAAAAATACCCTTAACATATGCCTTATTAGAAAATTCTTTTATTTATCTGGAATTTATGATATTACGTGCATTCACTCATTTAATAGTATTTAAAATTTGTATAAAAAAATATAAATGTTGTCCTTATATTAA